ACTCCTAGGTGGTAGGAATCCATTCCAGAACTTCCAACGTTATGAAAGGCTCTGGGAAGCGTTTGTGAAGGTCTGGTGGTCACTTCAAAGCCAATCACTAGGGATTGAGCTCCTACTTGGTGTGGCATTTTCAAGGAGAAGTTGTCACTTGTGATTGTTTACCTTGATGTTTATCCTGATTAGCATCAGGAGAACCTATTTATGCACAAAACCTGAATTGCAAAAATGTTAAATATTTGTAGCCACCTACCTCTCCCCGTCCCCCGGTTCTAGTTGACCATCTTGATTCTTCACTCACCCCGCAAATAAAAATCTTGATTCTTCACTCCTCTTAATACAGATTGTTGAACTACTGCTTTATCGTTGCCCTTTTACAAAAGAAATCCGAGAGCATAAAAGGATGAGTTCGGACAAATGCTACCAAAACAAGCTCAACATGAGTGATCCCACCAACGCGGCCATGACCATCCGCAAAATCAAGCCTTTGGTTCTGGTACGGTACCAAAATACCACAGGCTCCATGGGCATAATCCGTGGTAATCACACCAGAACTATGATGAAGATGTGAGATCTTACTCAACATGAGATCACCTCCATCGTCGTGACGTCATTGCCCATTAGCTTGTGCTTGCATTACTAAATAGCATTTTGGTCCACGTATTATCCGGTTGTGATTGCATTGGTCCGTCTGATTTGGTAGAAAGGGGCAAGAAAAAGAAGGAATAATAAACGGTTTGGTTCATAATGTGGCATTCTCTATCCACACACTCCATCTGACAAACAAAGCAGGCTTGCTCCAAACTTTTCCACGCAAGAAATGATATAAGATGGTAGGCAAACCCTAGAACCGAATAAAGATCTCAAAGGGGCAGGCTGCAGACTACACATTAAAAAACTGGATGTGGATATATTGACAGTGTAATCTCAACCACCTCCCAGCATCATCTCCCCAGAAAATCCCTTAATCCAGCCAACAGAAAACGCTGCATTTCTTCTGCAGAATGTACCGAGGGATGCGACAAAACACCTGGCCTGGCCGCTAATCCTCGCGGGCCCAGGGCCCCAAATCCACCAGCGAAAACGTAGCCATATGCGAATTAGCAGACATAATACGGACACGCCATGGCATCTGCTCAACAATCATGCAGCTAATCTATAGCATCTTGTCAACGTAATGCTTCCAGTGCCTACTGACACATCACACATGCACAATGTATCTCAAGACTTGACCGATCAAAATTACGGCAATATTTCCTTTACTCATAATGCCATGGAATTAAGTCTCTGGGCATAGGAATTTGAAAACTTAATCATATGATCCCTATAGAAATAATTCAAAAAATAAAGGTTATATTCGAAAATCATGACTAATTTAAAAGTTTTCTCTTCCCTCCATGCAAAATACCTCTACTGAAACACGTTTCAAGAACATTTTTTTGTGCCAAACTTACTCGTTTTTTTTTTTGTAGTACTAACTTGCATAGATGCCTGCAATACCTACCCGATATATGTGTTTCTGCTCGCAAGCTATGACAAACTGTCGGCATCCATAAGTTAGATAACCACATGTATATCTTGACAGCCACGACATATACAAATGACATAAACATACGTGTTGAAGGCTACGTGAGCAAGAGCGCACGATTCAAGGGCCGATGTTTTGGAGCACCGCAACAGTGCCAGTCCTGCACGCATCGTCCGCCCCCATGCACATACCTAGATCCAGTTTAATTTACTACCATTTGCCACACATTTGAATATATACAACAAGGGAAGACGCCAAGATTTGGCCTCAACTCACTAAGATCAAGGAGCGCTGGACCACCACCTCAGTAGCTGCCCATGGATGATCCAGACAAAAGGTCGCGCCTGAAAACGATGGAGAGATAGATGGATCATACGTTCACATACCAGTATGAACTCCAAGCTTTTCCAGATGCAGCTGCAAGAACGCATTATTCTTTCTTGTTTGGGCAGCAGCAGTGGCTAAAATGAGGGCTTGGCGGTGTCGATCTACCTACTGTGACCGACGGACGGACGGTCCTTGGCAGGCCGGCACGCTGCATTGAAGGCTGTACAAGCCCGCCCGGCCCTCGCGTCCAACAACCTCTGCCATGGACAAGCGTTGTACACGGTACAGGCCCGTCCTTGCTGCCTTTGCGCCGAGGGTTTCTCTTGGACGCGCCATTATGGATTGCGAGCCAGCCGGCCAGCAGGTATGTGTCACAGATCAAACAAACCCAGGACACGTCATATCAGGGCTCTGCATGCATGCATGCATGCGTAAACCCAGCCTTGAATTCAGGTTCCCCAGTCCCACAAGAGAGAGACGATAAGAAAGAGGCCAGCTGTGAGCTCTAGTGAGAAGTGTAGTATTGCAGCATACAAAAAAAAAACAATGGACTGGTGTTGACATGGCAGGCTCTCGCTGATCTTTCAAATTAGTGGGCAAACCTACTGCACATCAGATGATAGTTTAAGCAACTACTAGCAAGTAAACTAGGGAGAGAGATGTGGGTTTTTCTAGGTTGGTGCCCCCACTTTGATGAAGCAAAGGCTTGAGAAACTATACAGACGCTGTCTACCATGCGACTTGAATATCTCTGCCCACTCAGCAATGTTTTTCTTTGACCAAATGCCTCAAGCGTTTTCACAAGGACGGTAAAGGGGAGAAAAATAGTGTGGCCTAGGTTTGGTCATGTCAATGTCACACACACAATTTCAATGAGAACAGAGGACTGTGCCTGCAATCACTAGGGGACACCAGGGCCCTTTGCTTGTGAGAGTGAAGTAAGCAAAAGTGTGTGCATTAGGGCCCACTAACTAGGCTCTACTAGAGTGTGCCAAACCTGGGGCATGCTATGCTAGTGGTAGCATTAGCTCTGCTTAGGCTTTTCGAGTCACCAAAACACAGGGGATCTTATTTTAGTAGTATGAGCTTATTATATGAGATGAGCCTAAGCAACGAAAGGGGCAACATACATTTGGTAGCCCTATTTACCTTTTTCATTTTAGGCCTATTTGGGGGGTCGCCCTTGCTGTCCAAACAACAAACAATGGCTTCTGAATCACCCAAGGAGAAAGCCTCTCCTGTTTGTAGTACACATAGTAGTACCACCGCATTGTCAATGGACAAGAATGCTTCAAAGGACAGTGATTGGATGGCTCAGGACAGATGTTGTGCCACCACCCACGCTGCAAAGATTTCAAAGCATGCGTTCCGAAACATTTTGAGTGGCAACCAGAACTACTACCAACTAATGTTCAGCTTGCGGGTCCTGAATGCTGTGCATTAAAAAAAACGAAGACAAAAGATTTGCCTCATTCATGGAAAAACACAGCTGTAGAGTAAAACAAATCATGGACGATCTATTACGCCGTTTGGTAAGTAAGATCAAACCTATACGATTGTCCTCTCACACTTCACTGGAATGAAATCATGTACTCCCTCCGATCCGAATTAAATGACGCAGCCTCTATACAATGTCCGATCCGGATCGGAGGGAGTAACATAACTTCCGGTCCTTTGCGGAAATTTTCACTGGTTCCTGACTCAGTCAACATCCTGCTAATACTGCGAACATTTTGAAAATTAGACAGCAAGAGGGCATCAGCATCAATCAACATTCATCAGCCCAGCTGCAACCATAAAAAATGAAAGGCGTGTAGGCCCTTGGGAACTTTAGGTGTGCACTTGTCTTGCCATCATCATCATCACTGATGAAAAGCCGGATAAATCCTTGCACGTTGGTTAGGATTACCAGGCAGGCTTTATGCCAACCCAATCAGGTTAAAGTGGCTAACCCAAAAGGTTAATCTTTTACAAAGTTTTAACCTAATGATAAGATAGCTTCCCAATGTTTGACTGGTAATAAGGGTTCAGCAGCACCAAGAACGAGCACATGCACAAGCATGCAAGCATGGGATGCACCTATCTTTATTTTGTTTCATGATAGATTTTTCTAATTTTTTTGGAAAAGAGAATCTATTCCAATACACAATTGTAGTGTGTATACTGGTCAGTAGAAGAGACAATGCGCCTAAGTGCAAAAGAAAATGACAGTCAAAGAACTGTAGAGAAGGACTTAACTGTCTCGGAAAGGAAATGTGCAGGAGTAACATGATAATGTAGTAAACATATGTTGATAAGATAGTTATACAGATCATAGTGCATGAGGGACCACTGTTTTGTAGTGGCCTTGCCATTTGTTTGCCGCAATTTCTAATATTGTTTGCAATAGGTGATGTGTATGCATGTTCGTCATTTTCAATTCGTAACAGACTGTGTATTCCTTCAATTTTGCTACAAAATGATTAAGCCAATATCAGAATGCATAAGAGTGACAAATGCAACAGTGTAACAGATTAGTACAAAAGTTTATACAGCACATAGTTGTTGTAAACCCATTTGGTAAATTCATCTGATTACAATCTTGCAGGCAAATAGTTGGTACAGTAGATGAGACCAATCAGAATACTGTAATCACATGGAAGTTGGGAACCTGCAGCTACCCAAAGTCAATTGTCTGAGATCAGTGCAAAACTGCTGGCAAGTGATGGTTTCCTTTATCACTCTACATGTTTTAACTTGAGGAAGGACTTACAGGTACACCAGAAAATTAAATAAATAATATAATGCGGGCAATTCTAAGAATATGGCAGAAGTCTGAATAAACCAGTGCCTTACTAGATGCGAACACTGTTATCCCAAGCAAGTTTGGTTTATGTCATGATTTGTGAGGCCCAACTAGGAAGGAATCTCTGCAGGCTTCTGGCACTACAAACAAAACAATCCAAGCATATGTGTCAGTATAAAACCAGTAACCGGATGTTAAAGTATGCCGAGTAAATTGTGACTGCAAAAAATTAAATCATCAGTCAAAGATTCTTTCTTACAGTAAGTTTGGGATTCACTCAATGAACAAGTGTCAGTTCCCATCATCATCGTCTTCAAGAAGATAGTCTTCTATTTGATCTCTGGAACAAAAGTTATCAATAGCTCACTGAATCAGTGCACTATCAAAAAGAACAAGAAAATAATACATGGCCAAATCAATGGAGTAACTGCACATGGAGAAACAAGTGGGCACATTCAATTAAACATTATCCTAACAAAGAAGTTGTAACATCCAAAGGTTCAGTGTTTTGATTTGCTTAACTACTGATAACATGCACATGCACTATAGCTATAAAGACAATGAAGCAACTCATTGGGATAAAGACATCAGCCTCACCTTAGCGAGCTATGGCTGGCAGATGCAGTATCTACTCTCTCAGTCCAGAACCTTGGTAGTAGTGAAAAGAAATGGTCATACAGGTCTCTACCACCAGGTAGAATCTGGAAATGACAGCTTTGACAGCAATAAGCAGTATATAGATCAATTTTCTTCTGAGACTTGTGCCTTGTGCTTTCCAAATTCTGGAGTTCTGATTCACTGAATGGACTTCGACATATCAGGCAGAGAAGCTCAGAGAAAGCAGACTCATCGTTGTCAACATCCTGGAACTTGGGACGCAGCCGCGACGGCAGGAAATCATGATAGCCATTTGCTGAGAACTTGTTAAAAGGGAATGGCTTAAGTTTTTGTGCAGTTCTTACAATAGTATGCTCACGAGAAGGATTCTCCTCCTGTCAATGGAAATTAATGACCTGTAAGATTACGACTTGCGCTTGCTGCAAGCAATTAACGAAAGCAATCACTGAACAAGAATATAATTAGATCTTCAGCTCAGTTTGGTGTCAGTGAACTCAACATTATATGTAAGTCCAGTGCGCCATGCAAGGAACGAACTTACTTACCCTTAGTCGTGCAACAAAAGATGCGACTAAGCCATTGATGCCACTGCAAGGCCTATCAAGAAGTTGCTGTGTCTTTAAACTAAGCACATAACCAGTTAGAATAAACAGTATCAGGAGTACAATCCAACAAAAGAAAAATGTGAATGCTTATCTTACCTATCAAATTCACAGAGCAGTCTAAGCTCTTGGGCCAGGCAATCACGAAGTGGAAGAACGACAGGCACTTCCCACCGTGTATCAACATATTGGATATCAGCTGGTAAGGAATAACCTTGGCCCTGGATATAATTAGCAATTCCTCTAAGTTTCTCATGTTCTCTTGAACTATCAACAGGCGAACAAATCATAAGGGGAACAGGCATCTGCTATATACCTTTACTGTTGCAGATAGCACATGACATGCTATTGTAGAAGCACATGATCCCAGCATGATCTTGGTGTACCCATTTTCCAGTGCAATCTGAAGAACGTATAAGATGTAATGGTAAATCTGACTTTAATCACCGAATGGAAAGCACAACGCAACATCATGTAGATTAAATGACAATTTGCAATCGAAGCATGTGCAATCACTGATAACAAAAAAAGAACCTTCTGCAACGAAAGCATGCGCAAGCACTGAAGAAGATCCTCCCTCCCAGTATCATCAGCAATCATGCCAACTAGCTCCCTCAGCCTGCTTTCCCCATCTTTTGATTCCGAGGAGAACACATCATCAAGAGAGGCAAGGTGCATTGCTTTATCTCCCGGTAACAAACTCGACACAATTGACTTTATATCTTCAGTTGCCTGCTCAACTTCACATTCGGTCTTTGACAACAAAGCACTCTCGTTGACAAAGGCCACCCCAACATTGAAGACCGGTAGGGCTTGCGAATTGCTGGCGTCCCAGCTTTCGATTGCCTTGGACCGCATCTCATGTATGAATTGCAGAGCCACCCTAGAGCACACGCATCAACAATTCATTTCAAGGGATCGTAACAATAAGTGTGCAAAGTAAGCAACGCTGAGCAGTACAAAAAATTAGGAATCACCAAGGAAAAAGAGGGGAAAGTGAACCTGGAGGCGGGGCCGCCGGAGAAGGCGACGAGGACGGAGTCGGTTGGCCGAACCATGGCGTTGCTTGTGACGGCGAGCTTGAACTTCCCGAACAGCTGGGCGCGCAAGCACTCGCCGCACAGACCGACGCCTCCGGCAACCACGACGACGGCGCCGCCGCCGCACTTGCCGCAGGAGGCAGCGGCACCGGATATGGAGAGACGGTCCAGAATCCCCTCCGGAGCATCCTCTACGGATGACGAGGTGGAGGAGGAGCAGTGGGCCCCGCAGCCGGCGCCGCCGCAGGAGGAGGACGAGGCGGCGGCCATGCTGGGATGGACAGGCGCGCAGGTCAGGGGTTTCGGATCTTTTTTTTTTTTTGCCTTCTCCTTTTTGGTTGGTGCATTATGTGGGCTCCGTTTAGGCCTTAGTTGGGCTGAATCTGCTACTCCTTCCTATCCAAAATTTAAACTAAAACCACACACTTATTTTGGATCGGAGGGTTCACTCAAAAAAAAAAAAAATTGGATCGAAAGGATCAATGCATGTTTGAATTTCTTTTTCATACGTCAGTTATGGCCGGTGCTATGGAAGGCCCTATTCGCCCCTCTGTGCGATGATGGAGTGCACCTGCTCGGAGAGCTAAAACAATGTTCAAGAATTTAAACAAAGTTCATGAATTTCAAACGATGTTCCGAGTTTTGAAAAATGCTCATAGATTCAAAAAATGTTCAAAAAATACACAAATATTCATGAATTTATAAAACGTTCACTAATTCTGAAAGGATCGATATGGTCAACAAGAGGGAAGGTGGATGGGTGACTAACAATTTTTAACCTCTGCACAAATTTTAGTCTTTACAACAAAGATATGTTGTCTAGGTATGCAATTAGGTGGACAACCTATATGACAAGCAACACGACAACAAGTGCAAGCACAAGGTAAAACACATAATACAAGCTTGCACAAAGAAAAGGTACGAAGTAACCATAAGTGAAGTTGATGGAGACGAGGATGTGTTTTCGAAGTCCCTTCCTTTGGGGGAGGTACGTCTCCATTGGAGAGGTGTGGAGGCACAATCACACACTCGCACGATGCAAGGGGTCGCGCATCCACTAGCGGTGCCCTTGAAGGTGCCAACCGGAACCTTTACGAACAAGGTTGACTCTCTCTCCAAAAGTTAATTGAAGGATTCCAACACCACCACGAAGCTTCACCACAATGAAATGTGGCTCCAAGATGATCTCTTCCTTCCAGGGTGCTCAAACACCCAAACCCAAGAGTAACAAGATGCAAGTGAAAGTATGGGGGAATCAAACTTCCTTTGGTGGAAGTATAGATCTGGGTCTTCTCCCTTAATGCCTAACAAATCAACAAGTTTGGTTGGCTAGAGAAGGAGATCAGACAAGAACAAGCTTGGGGTAAAAGTGGAGGAGAGAGAAAGAGGTAAGAGGTAAGTGGAGGTGGAAGAACCTCCCATTTTTATAGCATCCTCCAAATCCACCCGTTATGTGCAAAATCGCACAGGGGCGGTACAACCGCCCAATGCAGAATACCTCACTTTGCAGAGTTAGGGCGGTACAATCGCCGGGCGGCCAGTTATACCGCTAAATAAGTATTTGCCGGAACAACCGCGGGGGCACTGCCTGTGTACTACTCACCACCAGAAGAAATCACCTTATATGCAGTGGTTCGAGCAGTATAAGGTTGCTAGTAGAACCGCTGCCAACACTTTAGCTGGAACAGCCGGCGGACCACCGCCATGTACCGTCGTTATACCAAAAGGAATGACCCTTTTCCATGTAGTTGTGGCGGTTCAAAGGCCATAACAACTGGCCGATAGTGTCAGGTGAGGATGTTAAGTACCATGCGGTACAACCGCATGCAGGACACCAGTACAACTAGTAAGCCCACACGAGGGAATCACCCCTCGTGTGGTAGTCCTACCAGGAGAACCGGATGAGTGGTACAACCACCTATACACGGGGCATAACTGCTCTGAACAAGATTTCTACACATGGTTGAATAAGGAACACTCCCCTCGAAACGAAAGGTAATATGTGGGTGCAATATATGGATGTGTACGTGTTTGATTCAACCAGTACCTTCCAATGTGCATCCCCTCTTAATAGTACATATTTTCTAAGAACAAAGAAATAAACACGTCGAAAATGCAGTCTTCACTCTTTTCCGTCCGGAGGGGTGCCCAACCATCTTGTGTGAACTAGAGTATATGTGTGAAGCTTAGTCACATGATTAGTCCACAAATTGCATTCTCATAAACACCAAAAAACACTTAAGATGGAAAATGCCCTTACAATCTCCCCCCTTTGGTGGTTGATGACAATATTGTGACGCCCGAATAATTAAGCTACAGTAATTCCCTGCTAATGATGCCACGTCACCTTGATTACTGTTGATAAACTCACCTTGCTTCGAAACCGATTCAAATTCGTATTCAAAATCTAAGTCAAACAATAAAAGTTTTCAAACTTTAAAACTAAAATGTTCGAATTGTGCCAAATAATGCATAGGTAACTGTGGAGAAGAAACCCTACTTTAAAAAAAGTTTAAATACTCCAAGGTGAATAAAACAGTAGCAAAAACCGATATTTAAAGGCTTTCATAATTAATAAAATTCTAAACTAAATTATTTTGGGATAAAACCTTTTTGGGGCAGTGGGTTTCGTGGTATTACTATTTTAGGGTTCATTTTAATATTAAGTAAAAAGTATAACTAAAAGAAACTAAAATAAATAACATATATATATATATATATATATATATATATATAAGAGAAAGGACCACCCCCCCACTGGGCCGACCGACCCAACTGGCAACTAGGCCACCAGGCCGACCTAGCCCCAGGCCAATAACCCCCCTCCAGGGGGCACCGAAACCCTAACCCCCCTCCACACGATCCCCACTCTCCTCCCACACGCGTTCTGGATCGGGATCGAGTGAACCGCCCCGACCCATCACCGTCGCCCCTCACCACCACCTCGACCCCGCGCCGCCTCTCCTCGCGCGCGGCGCCGCCTGACCCGAAGCCGCTCGTCGCCCCGACTCCTTCGCCCCCGCTGTTGTGCGCCGTCGCCGAATCGTCGGCGCCACCTCGCCCCGTCGTCGTCGCCTCCTCGTCCTCCTCCTCGAGCACGTTGTCGTTTCCCTACACCGCAAGTGAGGCTCCGGCCTCTCCCCTCTACCCTCTCCCCACGACGGACGTTGTCGTGCCCGCCGTCCCATGCCCGTGCACGCGCTCACGTGGCTACACGCACGCCCGTGTGTCACCTCTACGCACTGCCGCCGCGCGTCGCTCCCCTGCTCACGTGGCCGAGCGCCGCCGTGCCCTGCGCCCGAGCCACACCCCGCGGTGCCCCGCTGTCGGCCGCCTGTGTGTGGCCGCGCCTCCGCCATGCTCGCCGTCGCCCGCTGCCGCTCACATCGCCAACTGCAACCGCCCCTGCTGTTGCGCTGCTCCTGCTTCGCCACTCTGCTACCAGCGCCCGCACCCCCTGGCCACCGCAGCTCCGACCACACTCCCGCGCGCACCTGGCCATGCATCACCGCGCACAGCCGCGTCGCCCCTGCCCGCCACTGTGATGCTGCCCCCCTGTGCCAGCTACCTCCCCTGCTCGCCCCACGCCATCGCGCGCCTCCACTCGTCGCGCCGCCCCAGCCGCTACCGCTGCGGCCATCTAGAGCTGCTCACTCCTCGTGCCCCGCGCCTCTCTCCTGGCCTCTGCCGCATCGTCGTTTGCTCCCATCCCGCCACTGCTGACCGTCGGTGCAACCCTCTGCCGGGCGCGCTCGGCCTCGCCAGCTTCTGGCCATGACCGCCGGCGCCCGCGCCCGAAACCAGCGTCGACGCGGCCCCGCCTCACTACCAGGGCGGGCTGCGGCTTTGCCCGCTGCCCCTTTTGCCCAGCGCCTGTTAAGGCATCTGGCCTATGACATGGTGGCCCACCCCAAAACGTTATAAAAAAGAAGAAGGAGAATTAATTAAAAATATAATTATTAATAATTAAAATATTAATTAATTAATTAATTAACTAAATTAATTATGTTAACTAACTATTAAACCTAATTAACCTGCTAATTAATCTAACTAAATAGTTAGTTAGACAATAATAGGTGGGTCCCACACGTCAGTTTGACCAGTCAACACCCCTATTGACCGTTAACGTCATGTTGACGTTATGCTGACGTCAGCATGCGCTGTTCTGGATAATGTTGAATTAAAAATAATTAAATAAATGCTATAAATGATTTAAATCTTTTAAAATCAATATAAAATAAACCGTAGTTCGGATGGGAAAACTTTATACATGAAAGTTGCTCAGAACGACGAGACGAATTCAAATACGCAGTCGTTCATCAGCCAGTGTCCCTAGCATAGCAAACCTGCAACATTTCACCTCCGGTTCATCTGTCTGAAAATGCGTAACACCGGGAATACTTTCCCGGATGTTTCCCCCCTTTTCCGATATCACCTAGTACTGCGTTAGGTCACCTCTAGCACCATGTATTGCCATGTTATGCTTTGTGATGCTTTGATTGCTCTGTTATTTATTGTGTTCTCCCCTTGTTACTTCTTTCCGATAGACCCCGGGACCGATGCCGGTACCCCTGAGATCGACTACATCGACGACGAACCCTTCTTGCCAGAGCAACCAGGCAAGCCCCCCTGATCACCAGATATCGCCTACTCTTCTCTCTACTGCTTGCATTAGAGTAGTGTAGCATGTTACTGCTTTCCGTAATCCTATTCTGATGCATAGCCTGTCATTGTTGCTATAGCTGTTGATACCTGCTACCTCTTGAGCATTGCGTTGGTTTTTCCCCGAAGAGAAGGGATGATGCAGCAGAGTAGCATAAGTATTTTCCTCAGTTTTTGAGAACCAAGGTATCAATCCGGTAGGAGGCTACGCGCGAGTCCCTCGCACCTGCACAAAACAAATAAATCCTCGCAACCAATGCAATAAGGGGTTGTCAATCCCTACACGGCCACTTACGAGAGTGAGATCTGATAGATATGATAAGATAATATTTTTGGTATTTTTATGATAAAGATGCAAAGTAAAATAAAAGCAAAGTAAATAACAAAGTATTGGAAGATTAATATGATGAAGATAGACCCGGGGGTCATAGGTTTCACTAGTGGCTTCTCTCAAGAGCATACGAATTCTACGGTGGGTGAACAAATTACTGTTGAGCAATTGATAGAATTGAGCATAGTTATGAGAATATCTAGGCATGATCATGTATATAGGCATGACGTCTGAGACAAGTAGACCGACTCCTGCCGGCATCTACTACTATTACTCC